AGTGCTGTTTATTTGTTTATAGAGAAAATACAGGAGAAGTGTTCATAGTAATATAATCTGATTTGCAAGTAGATGAATACATTATATTTCTGATATGTATGGAATATGTATAATTAAAACTCACTTTAAAGAGAATATCAGGGCGCTGCCTTCAGCAACCACCCAGTAGTGATGTCCAAGAGCTTCACAGAAGACAAATGAAGGAGAAGATGAATCAGAAAACAGGTTTGAAGGAGAAGATGGTCCATTAAAAAAAAAAGCTATCATTGCTACTATAATGGACATATAATTAAATTGGTAGTGAACGTTTAGAGCAAGATCAGGGATTCTGCAGATATTTGCCTAATGGTGTTGGGTTGAAACTTAGAGTGGGGCATATCCCTGAAGATAAAGGATAAAGAATAGCAAGGGACTAGGACTGAAGTCTAGAAACACCCACTACAGAAAGTAAACTATCTGAAGGGGAAAGAGGAAAATAAGCATCACTGTGGGAGCCATGAGGGGTTAGAGATGAAGCATTTTTTGGAAGTGCTGCTGCACTGTTTGTAACAGATAGAAATTAGAAATATCTTAGACAACTGAAAATTCAGATTTTATTCAGTCATTCTGAGGAAGCTGAGCTTCTGATTTCTAACAAGCATCCAGGATTGCAAATGCTATCAGCCCATAGACCACACTTTGAATAGCAAGGATATAGAACATTTAAGATACTCAGTGGTTAGCACATAGGAGCAATAGAATAACTGCTTTCCAGTAGAAACATAAGCTTCAGGTAGGAAAAAAAAAAACAACAACTAAAAAAGTCAATAAAAAATGGACTCTAAGCTGCAAATCATTAAATTCTAACTTAAAAAGCCATTTGTCATTGAATTATTTATGACTTACAGCTATGACCCCATGTGTGTTAGAGCAGTTTTCAATGTCTGATGTTTAGAAGTACATTGCCAGGCCTTTCTTCTGAAGTGCTTCTGAGTGGGGCTTCAACCTTTTGGTTAACAGTCTAGTTAGTTGACCATTTGCATTACCCAAAGACTTCAAGTCCTAATTGAGGTAACTATAGAAATCCATGATTCCTGGATTATCTAATTTACTTAATTTTTTTCACAGAAACTTTGAATAAATTCTAGGAAACTCAATTCAGCAAGTTTATACTGGCTATTCTTCTTTATATCTCTATCACAAAAGAGAAGGAAGATGAAAAATCCTGGCCAATTCACTGTGGTCAGAAGACCAACATCCACAAAGCACAAGCAGGAAAAAGACCGTATAAAGTCAATTCATCCAGAAGTCAAAGCACTGAAAACAATTACCAAGATAACATTGCATCAGAGGGAAAGGAAGGCAGGGTTGAAACCCCCACACAAACACAACATACTGATAGAAGGGAGATAGGAAAGCACCCAACACAAAAGGTACAAGATGACAGCAATGAATCCACAGATGGTGGGAATAACTCTGAATGTCAACGGCCCGAACTCACCCAATAAAGGCAAAGGTTAGCAGACTGACTCAGAAAACATAACCCATTGATCGGTTACCTACAAGAGACCCATCTTAACCTCGCAGGCTGGTAGAAAATATACCAGGCAAAATGGCAAGTTAAAAAAGCAGGGATTGAAATCCTAATCCCCAACAAAATTGACCTCAAGGTACAAACCATAGCAAGAGACAAGGACGGGCACT